AATATTTTCCTCCAGTAAAACAACTCTATAGTAGACTAATTATAAAATTTTATCGTTCTGACAAACTTTGATTTCTTCCTGAGCTCCTTGCTCAATATAAATTATGTCAAAGAACCTGAAGAATTTGGCACCGGTCTGCCGAGTCAAAGACCTTCGGTTAAAAACATTTAAAGGAATATCAACCCTTTTAAAACTGGCCCACTCGAAGTGAGACTCGGCAGGTTTCGTGGCTAGCGAGTGGGCAAAGCTAAAACTGGCCCGGGGCCAGTATCAAACTCGATTCTATAAATAATACAATGAATCGTGTTAACTGCTGTCCTCATTGTCCTGACCACGCTGGATGAAACTGATATTTATTTTCAAATAAGTCAAAAAACAAAAGTTTGGAAATAGCTAGTCGGATGGGCTAATAGAGAGAGTTTAAAAACAAATCTTCGTGAACCATCAATAACCATATAACCAATAAACATCAACTATGTATTATTTATGCGTACTTGATTATCAAATTACAATTCATAACTATTCTGATATAAAAAGGGGAATACAAAAATTTCAAGATTCTTTAAGGCTGTACAATGAAATGCTGACAAATTAATATTTTTATGTATTACTTTATTTAATTACTTGATATTAACATTGGCATTAAATTTTTAAAACTGTGTTAGTAATTAGAAGGAAAATATTATGACAATAGGATAATTATTCCTGTTATTCCCTGTTTTGTTCTATTTAAATAAAATTATACCTCTGAAAGTTCTGCAATTAATCTATTTTCTGTTTTTCAATATTCTATACAGAAAAAGTGTTTGTCAATATAACCTAAGAATATTGACGATGTATTATTTATACGTATTTGACTATCAAATTACAATTCAAAACTATTCTGATATAAAAAAGAGTATACCAAAATTTCAAGATACTTTATGGCTGAACAATGAAATTCTGAAAAATTAATCTTTTTATTTATTATTTTATTTAATTACGTGACATTACCATTGATATTAATTATTTAAAACTGTGGAATTAATTAGAAGGAAAATATTATGACAATAATAACAATAATTTCTGTTATTCCCTGTCATGTTCTGTTTAAATAAAATTATACCTCTGAAAGTTGAGCAATTAATCTAGTTCCTGTTTTTCAATATTCTGTACGGAAGAAGTGTTTTTTTTTCTATATATCAAGGAAGATTGACGATATATTATTCATATGTATTTGATTATCGAATTACAATTCAAAACTATTCTGATAAAAAAATGGTTATATAAAATTTCAAGATTCTTTAGGGCTGTAAATGAAATTCTGAAAAATTAATCGTTTTATTTATTATTTTATATAATTACTTGGCATTAATATTGACATTAATTATTTAAAAGTTTGGAAGTAATTAATAGGAAAATGTGACAATAGTAACAATTATTCCTGTTATTCCCTGTCATGTTCTATTTAAATAAAATTATACTTCAGAAAGTTCTACAATTTTCTGTTTTTCAATATTCTATACAGAAAAAGTGTTTTTTCTATATAACCAAGGAACATTGACGATATATTATCCATATGTATTTGACTATCGGATTACAATTCAAAACTATTCTGATATAAAAAGGGTTATACCAAAATGTCAAGATTCGTTAGGGCTGCACAACTAAATTCTGAAAAATTAATCTTTTTATTTATTATTTTATTTAAATGCTTGCCATTAATACTGACGTTCATTATTTAAAAACTGTAGAAGTAAATTAGAAGGAAAATATTATTACAAAAGTAACTATTATTCCTGTTATTCCCTGTCATGTTGTATTTAAATAAAATTATACTTCTGAAAGTTTTACAATTAATTTATTTTCTGTTTTTCAATATTCTATACAGAAAAAGTGTTTTTCTATATAATAAAAAACATTGACGATGTATTATTTATATGCATTTGGCTATCAAATTACAATTTAAAACTATTCTGATATAAAAAGGGGAATACCAAAATATCAAAATTCTTTAGGGTTGTACAATGAAATTCTGAAAAATTAAACTTTCCATTTATTATTTTATTTAATTACTTCACATTAACAATGATATTAATTATTTAAAAACTGTGGAAGTAATTAGAAGGAAAATATTATGGCAATAGTAACAATTATTCCTGTTACTCCCTGTCATGTTATATTTAAATAAAATTATACCTCTGAAAGTTTTGCAATTAGCTCCTGTTTATCTCATGAAATTCTAAAAAAATTGATTTTTCTATTTATTTTTATTTAGACATTGAATATTTGAAAACTGTAGAAGTAATTACAAGAAAACTATTATCATAATAGTAAAAATTAGTCCTGTTATTCCATGCCATTCCTAGTAATTTTTGCTATTTACATAAAACAGTATCTCTGAAAGTTCTGCAATTAATCTATTTCCTGTTGCAAGTGTTTATTCAAGTTTTAATATCAATAGCACGAGTAGTTTATATTTGAACGATGTAAATCTTTCCTTAATACAATTATCCTTGCCTAATTTCGTTAAAAATTTAAATCTTTGAAGCTAACTAGTTGTATCGGTCCAGACAAAATTCCATCTATTCTTCTTAAGAATGCTTGGAGAGTGGCTGTCCCTTTACATTTTATTTTTAACAAATCATTGAATTCCAGTATTTTTCAAGACAAATTGGGAACTTTGAAAGTAGAAAAAATTTGAAACTTTATTAGTTGGTAAAAATAAAATCCATTTCCCTTCCTTCTTTTCCTCATGTCATTGCACGTGATTTCAATTTTCTTTATGAGCTGTTCCCTAATTTCGATGGATGTGCTGTACACTGTACTTTTCAGAGATTCTCAAATGTAAAAATCTAATGGGGGTCAAATTAGGGCTCCTCGCCGTGCACGAAAAGAATATATCTAATTTTTGGTACCAACTAATAAATGTTTTTTATTAAAAATAGACGAGTACGATGTTCTTGGGTAGCTGCTGTCCTTCGGTTCGATATACGTTTTTCAACCTTGCTAAGTAGTTTTCACTAAGAACAGTTTAAAAAAATGTAAAATGAGAATATCCTTGGAATACTTTTAAGATACGGAAACTTAGGTGTAATCCCCAAAAAGTTTGATGGAAAAGCCATTGCTCGAGCGACAATTGATTATTTAAGAAAAACATGGATTTTGCTATTGGTTATTCTTTGAGTAGCTACTGTGTATTTTGAAGCGCGAATTTTTCAACGGAAATGTTGTTATCTTACGAAAAATTTAATGTAGCTTGCGAAATAAAATTCAGATTTTGTATTTTAATGATATGACGATTTTAAGTGAAAAAATCTGATTACAATAAAATCACAGAAATGTTAATAACTCAAGACTGAAACCCCATTCTGGTGGAATTGATCTACTCTATATTTAGTGAATTCACCAGGAAAGTATTGACAATTTAACCCTGTAACACTCTGTATATACGTGTTTGTATTATTTTTTCTATATTTTTAAATGAGTATTTGTCTTGGAATTTTTATAACGTTAGATTTGTTATTGTTGTTGCACCTTTGTAAATGGGCTACTTGCCCGACCATATTAATAAATAAAGAAATTATATGTATAGTCGTGAACGGAGAAATCACTCATCAGTGGCATCAAAATAATTTAATTTATTTTCATTCTAAAAGTGTACTACAAGAGACTCAAATGACAATTGCAGCAGATATGAAAGTATTTACTTAATACAGTATTTGTAATTGTAAATATCAACTAAATATAATATCTAAAAAATTTAATTTTTTTTATTTTTTTGTTGTAACTTTGCTCGTATTTGCCACGCTGTCATTTCTGAGTACGAATCTTCGTATGACCCTTAGAATTTCATTTGAAATTAATGTAAAAAAGTGGTTTAAACCCTCGTCCGCGACACAACGAGTAGTGTGACAGAAATTAATTTCCTTTTTTTCACTTTTTGAAATGATGGTTCAACTTGCAGATTCTAATTTAATTATTTTAAAGATAAATCGAAGAGTAGAACAAGAGTAGAATAAAGAGTACGACCATCATTTACAAAAAGTGAATCGACATACACATCGCTTTATGATTTCTATGGGATGTCGATGTGTTAAAAGTTTAACTGACAAATTAACTTTTCTGTTATACCAGTTCTTGGTACTACATAGCAAACTATTTTTTTCAAAACTGTCCTTCACCCTATTATCAATAAATATAAATGTATATTATGTCGATTCCGCGCGATTTATTCAGATTACGTAAATACCACATTTTCTGTTTTAAACTTGTGAAAATATTTAGACGTTAGGGTTGTTTGCTTCTTTCCGCGTTGATACGCATCCTGGAAATGTACACAAAAATTAGCGCGTTGAGCAAGATTGATGAACTGTTGATTAAAGCTTAATCAATGTTGGTCCAGAACCTGACCCTTTTCAAATAGCAAGGAATACAATATTTCACTGAGCTCTTTTTTTCTGCTAGGACGGAAAATTGCGGTCAGAAAAACAAAGAAAAAACTATAAATATTTAATTTAAGTAATTTAATTTCAATTAATGCAGTAAAATTTGAAAAATCAAAACAGACAGTACAAATATAGTTTTTCTCGGTAGTGTCGTTTATAAATATTTTCTGCGAAGAAATACAAACCCTTGGCCATATTTTTATTTACTATAAACAAGGTGAACAACTAGGGAAAAACAAGGTTCACTAGTAAAGCCTTTTCCCCTCTCTTTCCCGCTTTTGGTTATGAAAAAAGAAACGTTTAAAGCAGAATTCGACTGATAAACTAACAGAACTGGTTACGAACTTGTGCCTGATGCACAGTTTTAAACGTAAGAAAGTTGAAGAGTTTTATCGTTCTCTTAAAGAAAAATGCTCTGTCATATTCTCAGCGATAAAATAGTTTGGTTTGGCTTTGACCGTTTAGTAAATATAACCCAAGAACATTTCCTGTTTCCTTCTCCCAGTGAAAAGGGGAAAAGATATAACCATCACCCTCAGTCGCTATGGTCTCGTCGTAGTGAAAGCAATTGACTTTTTTTTTACATTTTGAACGTTTTCTCTTATTTCAACCAAGCAGCCTTTAAACTTCACAGTAACCGTATTATTTTTCACCTCGTTTCTTCCCCTCCAGAATAGTTTGGAAAGACAGGTTCGGCAGACGTTGTGGTGGTGGTGGTGGTGGCGGCCGCCCTAGTATAACTAAATTTAGACGGCGTTGGAAGTCCCCACGAGAACTCAGTACGGCCCCAAAGTTCAAGACCCAAACAGGATAAATGGATTAATCGACGTCTTCGTGACGACGTCTGCCAGGGAGAGAAATAAATAGAAATTTGACAAAGGTAAGCTGCATTATTATTGCAGTGATCGTATTTATAAAACGGGTTCGTCTTTATTCGGAAACAACTGCCAATTGGCCGATTTAAGATACGCTTAATATCAAAGAAAGAATACTAAATCCTTTCATACGCCAAATCCTTTATAAACTTTTCATCATAAGCCATTTTTTTTTTTTTTTAATTTAACATTTGGAATATTTTTATCTTCCGAGTCGGTAAACCCTGCGTAAAATGCTCAATCAATACAATAAAATCAATATAATATTCAATATGTTTGAACTAATCCTAATTTTTGACGATAGATCATTGCTTAAAAAAATAATTCTACAGATACTTCAGTCAATAAAAAAATGCACTTAAAAATAATTACTTCAAAATTAAACAAATTTACCAACATTATATACATCCCAGATCATTTCGAGATTAACCAAGAAACAGTAATTTCGTATGAAACAAAAATGACAAATTGATAATTTCCGACAAAGTTTCGATTTGTTCTTAATATTGTTTTAACCTTACATCCACGGAAAATACAAGCAAAATACAATTTTTTATACCGTATTAATCCATATATGTTTAGTAGTCACAATAGATCTAATAATTATTTTAATTAATTATACTTTTTCACGATAGCTCAAGTGGTTAGAGCAACGGTATATTGAGCCGCGAAGGGCGTGGGTTCGAATCCCGCTCGTGGCAGTAACTTTTTCATCTCAAACAAGATCTTAGATAAAAAAAAATATAATTAATTTATATACTACATTTGATAACCTTTTTACGAAATATTTAACATACTTGCGAATTTTAATTAATTTATTTTATTGAGAAAAGGGTCGTACCATTGATTAAAACGCCGTAAACTGCCAAGTAATGTCCTTTAATTACGAAATAACATAAAATACATAACTAACAAGCAAATATTTGTTAATCCCTTTTTGTAATTAAAACACATTTATGTAATTGAGATCAATCTTTCTAACAAACTTCTATTTTTTTATAATTTTTTGATTCATCATTAAATTTTAGTTAAAGATCAAAGTTAAGTTATTAACTAGGATGAAAAAATCCAATTTCATCACCAGATTGTATATTATATACATATTTTACATTTATATACATATATATATTTTTATATATACATAGTGGATTATCATTTTTACGAAGACTGTATGAAACTAAATATTTTTCTTATGTAATTTAGACGATTTTCATTTTGTTGTAGCATCTGGCAAGTAGGGCGTTGATATAAACTGATGTATCAACATCTATCCGAAAATAACAATTTAATCTTTTTAAACTCTAACATGTTTTATGATTAATTGACAACCGTATAACACTAGACATCGCCCATTCCACTAAAAATAAAGTAGAGAATACGGCATAATGGACAATGTGTTTCGTTGCATTCTTTATTTTAAACCCTTTTACATAGATTAGTTTTGTAAAAACGTAGAACCGTGGATGTAATAATAGTTTACTTCGTGTTAATAATGTTTGCCATTTCATATGTGCTTTCGTACATAAAGATAATTTCATTTTTTTTAAATACAGAATTTATACTAAATTTTATCAGCTTCTATTAAATATATAAATACTCAATTAATTATGCACAATTTTTTTCGAAATGAAAAATTTATGTCACAGGCGGGATTCGAACCCACGACTTTCGGCTAAATACGTCGCTGCTCTACCACTTGAGGTACCGTGACTTCGATCGCCCATGCCACAAACTTCTCATTTCGACTACCCATTTTATTCTAATTGTAAGCAAATCGCGGCTTCATATAGAAACACTTTTTATTAACGATTGTACTAGATTAGCGGGACTGTGTACGATTCACAGGTGTTCTAGATAAATACTAAATTTTATCAGCTTCTAGTAAATATATATATACTCAATTAATTATACACAATTTTTCATTTCGAATTGAGTATTAATACAGAATTTATTTTAAAATATGACGTTTTGAAATCGATTTATTTATATTAATACGAAAATATATTTATACCCCTAAAAGACTTCCACTCCAAATTAAACTCAATGAAACATTGTGAACGGAATTTGGGAAAAAAATTGGAAAGCATATTCTCCACAATAATTCATGATAACTGACTTATTTTCGTATTAGTCAAATTTAACGGTGAAAGGTGTGTGCGATTTTTGTTAAACCAACAAGTAATGTGTGGTGATTAGTGACCGTTAATCGATAATTATTCAGAAATCGTGAGATGCACCTCACGATTTCTGAATAACCAACAAGTAATGTTTATATTTAGTCCAATAAACAGCAAACAGTAACAATTTTCAATTTATGATATCTACAGACATGATTAAGTGATATGCTTACATATGATATAACCAATATGATTAAATTGTGATATAAATTATTACTACATTCACAAATATTACCAATAAGATTCAAATTATTTAACGTAAAAACATATTAGACTTTTTTATAATGACACAAACATCTATTCCTTAATCAAACATTGCAATTGGTGATTATAAACAACTTTTAAGTCTATAAGGATGGAGTAATGTTTAAATAACTATTATTTTTAATCGGTAGAGCTGATTTTTATAACGTTTATGTATATCGGAAAGCTGTTAACGAAAAGAAAACTTGTGTTATTTATTACGAGCAGCAGATTGTAACATGGTTGATATCGTAGTGGTCGTAAATCTCGTAAAACTTTTGACAAACCTAACAATGATAGACATTCAATTTTAAGAAAAGCGATAGAAAAAACAACCTTAATCTAAATGGGAATGAACAAAAAACTAATAACATTGGTCTAGGAAAGTGACAAAGAAATACAATCTCTCGTATATATGTATCAAAAAGTTGTCATCAAAGTCCACAAATGTTATCTCGTCTCGCGATTATTTGGTTAGCTATGTCTGGCTCATTTTTTACGTTTATTTCACCGGGCTAAATTAAATGTAATAAATCTCTCTTTTTATTATTTAAATTCTTTATTTTTAAGTATATTATAACGACCGCAATAGATTTCACGGATTATTCATCCTGCCAGGGAGTTTCCCTTGAATCATATATCATAAAAAAAGTTCCTGATTTAGACCACTACCTTATATTTTATATTTATATTTTAATCGGCGATTTTGGAATAAATTTAACCTCCTATGACGTGTAGGATGTGAGACACCGCTAAATTCACACAAGATGTGGGCGTCGTTTGCGTCGGTTTTGCGTTAATCTAAAAATCCCTCCACCATTTTTTTTTCTATTTCAAATCCAAACTGCTCTAAATTTGGACGATAGTACAAAAAAGAGTGAAAAAGTGACACTCATAAAGTTAAGAAAGTAAAGTACTTATAATTTGTTTAAGGGGAAACATTTACGGTTTTCAAGTTCAAGCACGAATATATTTTTATGTTTATGAGTAAATCTCTCTCTCTCTCTCTCTCTCTCTCTCTCTCTCTCTCTCTCTCTCTCATTTGTTTACGAAAAATTAAAAAAAGAAGATCAATTAACTTAATTAACTTTAAATTAATAGTGATAAAAAATTATAATAAACAAAGGTAATTGAACTCGGTTTAAAATAAATATTTCATTATGCTCATGATACGGTAATATTCATGTTTATTAATAAAATTGAATGCATTTAATATATGAGATTTTTTATGTATATTATTTCAAACTATTGAATTTAATAAAAATGACATGTTATCATATCAATTAAAAATTATTGATACTTATAATGAAACTTCTGAGAAAATATTCGCACCTAATATTGAGTGCATAATTGTAAGAAAGGTAGAAGTTGTAAGAAGTATTGTCCTAAATTTGTACACATAAAAAAATAAAAGTTCAGTTCATTTCTTCTTTCCTCTGTCTTTCTCTTATTTTCACTCTCACTCTCTCTCACTTTTTCTATCTTCCTCTTTTTCTGTCTATCACCCTTCATTCAAGCCTGTCTTCTCACCCTCTCTCAATCTCTCTCCCTCTCTCTCTCTCTCTCTCTCTCTCTCTCTCTCTCTCTCTCTCTCTCTCTCTCTGTCTTCGTTTCTCTCCCTCTCTCATACATATATACACGCACACACACACACACATCTACCTACACCACTCGTTCACCTTTTCTCACATGATTTTTATTTTTTTATTTTTTATTTTTATTTATTTACAGTCCAAGCAGGTCAGGTACCCAAGCATAGGGCAGTCAAGCATGTCCTATATATCATCTTTTTTAAATTTTTATGTATATATGACTACCAATCTATCAACTTTTCAATTTTTCTATCAATTTCAATATTTAAAAATGTCCCTGATCCATATAAACAAATCACATTGGTAATTAACATTTTTGATAAGGATACAAATCGCATTCAGAAATTATTTAATATTACTTTCTCTTTCTCTCAGCCTCTTTACGTCCTTTATATTATTTTTTTCTATTTATTGTGAATATCTGACTACAAACGTATTGACCTTATTTAATTTAATTTGTAATTTTTCTATCAATTTAAAATAAGGATACAAATCGCATTCAGAAACTATTTAATATCACTCTCTTTTTCTCTCAGCCTTTCTCTCTCACCCCTCTTTTAGCTCTCTCTCTCTCATTTTCTCTCTCTCTCTCTCTCTCTCTCATTTGTTTACGAAAAATTAAAAAAAGAAGATCTCTCTCTCTCTCTCTCTCTCTCTCTCTCTCTCTCTCTCTCTTTCCTTCTTTCTCTCTCCATTTCTCCTTTCACGTATTAATTATTTTGTAGTAATTATTGTTGTCTTTATGATTTAATTGTTTTGTGGGTGAGTAATATAATTTTATCCGATGTTGTATAAATGTATGTATTGGGTTGTCCGGAAAATAATGCAGGATTTTAAGTTTTCATTAAAAAAAATCTATATAAAATATTCTGTTTACGTTTACAGGATTACTCATTTGTATGAATGTCAACACTTATTAATCCTCTTCCAAATGATATTGTTTGTTTACCTCTGTAGCATTCCGCTACTTGGAAATAATTCAGTCATCCTTAT